AGGGCGGGCGGCGGCTCGGCGGAGCCCCAGTCCCCGCGCACCAGCAGCGGGAAGGCGCCCGGCCGCTGCCCCGCCATCGCCCCACCGACGGCTCCGCTCCCCGCCGCTTTCTCTTTATATTCCCGGCGCGCCGGACCGCGCCTTTTTCCGGCAGGCACCCGCCTCTCGGGACTCCGCTGCCGTTTGTCGCGATACACCTGCCCCAGGCCGGCTCCTCGGGCCTCCCGTCGCAGCTTCACACCCGCGTCCTTAAGTTTCTCTCCCCCTCGAACGCCCAGAGCTGCTTTGGGCACCCCCTTCACCCGACAGAACGTCCTCTCTGCCCCTGTGCCGGGGCCTGCCAGCCCTTGTCGCTGTTGTGCCAAGAGTTCTTTTACCCGCTGGCAAGAGGCCGGTCCACACACGGAGTCGGGGCATTTACTTTATTTACAGTGTGTGCAGAAAGAGGCGCTGGGTGGCAAATCCACAAAGCCAGCGCAGAGATTACCAAAGCGGTTTCTTTCACTGTTTATCCATTTTAGCAAACAAAGACAGTAACGTTCCTTGGCTACAAGTTGCTTAGTTCCTTATTAATTAGTCTCCTATCTTTTATCTTTAACGATTGCCTTATTTCTCATGCCAATTAATCCCCATACTCTCAGTCTGTCTCTTTTTTTTGGGTCGGTGGTTTCTTCACTGGGTGGGCAAAGTGAGTTGGTGGTCGTGATCTCCCCTTGCCGGAATTACCATTACCCCAGTCAAAGCTGATTCAGCACAGTTGCTGACCTATCTTTGATAGTTTCTTCTTTGTCTGGGACATCCTGCCAAACGTCCTTGTAGTGCTCTTCGTGCCCACTATCAGTGGTACATTCTTCTCCCCAAGCTTTGGTAACCTCACCCCAGGTCTGAGATCATTGAAATATGTCGAGCCCTAAACCTTAACAAGGCAATTCTACCAACAAGTACTTTGGACAGCAATTACAGCTTGCTTGCTCTAATGGGTTCTTCATCCAGTGAGTGGGTGGGCCCTGGAACATGCTTCCCTGTGACCAGGGAAGTGCTCACAGCCTCAAGCCTGCCAGAGTTGAAGCAGCATTCGGACAATGCTCTCACAAGTGCAAGGCCAGGAGATGCACTTGATGATCCTTGAGGATCCCTTCCAACTCATGATATTCTATGATTCTTGGTCCCTTTGTATGCCTCTACCCCCCACCTTTGCCTTTTGATTAGAATAGACTGGAGAAGTAACTTCTGTCACTCATCGCCTGCACAGAGGCCAGTGCTACAGGTTTCTGTTCTGTGCTGGATGCCCATGGCACCTGTCATGCAAGCACTGGTGAAAAAACAGCTTGGTGTCCTCTGCAGCTTCTTGTGGCAATGTGAAACTGAGAACTGACTCAGTACTGTCTTCTGGAGGGAATGGTCAGACTGGTACCAGTGACCCACCAGCTGCAATGAAGCACCTGGAGCCATCTCCTCTTGCTCTTGGCACACTGATGAACTACTGACCATGGGTATTTATTACAAGGATTTAATAAGTTTATTCATTGTAAAAGTAAAACTTTAAACTTTTGGCCCCCCATACCCACATCTTGATTTCAAGCTCCAGGTGAAATTGATTCAAGACACTTGATTTCAACAGTTAGCATTTTTCAGTGGTTTAAAATCTCACAAAAAGAAAAGCAATGAGGTCAAA